TGAATTTCTCTGAAGAGAAAGAAGAGGAGAGAACATTAGATTTTATAATGGGTCTCTTAGCCACTTCCTACAGAAACCCCAAGGAAGAACAAGATTTGACTAACTGTGGCAGACGTTTGGGTGGAAATTGTGAATTACAGTGAATGTTTCCCCTACTTTTCCTCTATAAATTGGAATTAATATTTATATTCCACAAACTGAGATACTCTAGGACAGGGGTGTCAAACTGCCAGCCCACGAGCCAGATGCATCGTAGCGAAACCGCGCCCACCCCATTGCTGGCAATGGCAAAAAAGTCACGATATGTCGTGACATGTCACGTGACGTTGCGAGTTTGACATCCCTGCTCTAGGATGTAATTCTTGGGCCAGCTCTTATTAGCTACTTCACTGCACTAATAACCACAAGCTAGAATTATCCTAAACTTCTGAATAGGTATTGTTGTATATTCAAAATCTGAACTGGCTTCATGTGTCACTATGTTTTACAAACATTCTTTATTAAAATAATCCATTCCTTTGCTTAATCTTAGCAAATCTCATTGTTGCCATTCATATAATGATAAAAATGGAAAATGGTTCTTTATTAACCTAAGGAGTTCCATGCTTTCATTTCCGCTTGTTGAGCTTTCAATCCATGTACACTAGTCCATTGGCAGAACCTGGCCTGGACAAATGTAACAATATATTTGCATATATCCTTGAAGGAGATTGGTAAAAAAAAATGCTTGTTCATTTTTCCCGGCAAGATATACTTAGTGTTATGTCAGCTGAACTGAAAGAGCTGTTTGTTGAAAGCTTTATATCGCTGCGATCCATCACAGAACCATTATTATGACCTTGTTGTGGTCTGTGATAATAAGTGGGAGTTTTCTAAATGAATGATTTTTATATCAAAAAGAAATAGCATTTCGGAGGCTGATTCTTAATTAGAAATTGGAATAGGTAAGACAAGTGCAATAGATCAGTATATTTTCATCTAATATTATGGTAAAACGCACTTGGAAAAGGCATAAACTTATGTAGCAAGAAAAAGAATGAAGGGCAGGGACAATGGGAAGTTAGCTGCTAGGCTATGTGCCTTGATCTATTAATGACTGCCCCTGGACTCAAATTCATCTCATCTTCTAATTCATCTACACCAGCGGTTCTCAACCTGTGGGTCGCGACCCCATTTGGGGTCGAACGACCATTTCAAGGGGGTCGCCAAACAACGCGATCCACCATTTTTTTTGTCAGCCGGCGCAGGGGGCGCCACCGCGCATGCGCGCTGCGCAGGGGGCGCCGCCGCACATGCGCGCCGCACAGGGGGCGTGCATGTGGGCGCCGCAGTGCATGCACGCTGCGTAGGGGCAGCGCATGGGGCAGCGCCACGCATGCGCGCCGCGCAGGGGGTGGTGCTGCACATGCGCGCCGTCTGCTTATGACCGAGGTCGCCGTATAAAAAGGTTGAGAACCACTGATCTACACTTTTAACAAAGATTCATCCCAATCTGATTTCAGATTAATTTTTCTTTGTTCAACCCAAAATGTGACTATTGTAATGTTTTGCAACCTGTATATTTCACTCATATCTAACATTTTTTGGACTTTTTTCTTTTTTTCCTTGTTCTTATATGCCCTACAGCTTTTCTACTGTCTTTCATAAATAAACCATATTTGCCTTTGTGGTATAATATTAGAGACAGTTGCAAGAAGTGGCATTTTTTGGGATTTAAATTTTACCCCCACCCCGAACCCTACCATCCACCCACTTACTAACTTAAATCCTTAAATGGAGGGATGATAAGCCTCACACTAGAACATGTGAGCAACAGCCATGAACACTAGATAAGCCTCACACTAGAACATGTGAGCAATAGCCATGAACACTAATGTGTCCTGGGGTGTTCAGCCTTTTATTCCAAATAGAGCAGGGGTGTCTAAACTTGGCAACTTTGAAACTTGTAAACTTCAACTCCGAGAATTCCCCAACCACAGGAAAGAATGCTAACAAGCAGATGACTACAAGGAATATAAATCTTTCCATCCTCTGCCATTTGGTCAGAGCTGAAGAAGCTTCTTGGATGAGAAGCAAAATGTCTTCAAGGAAAAAACAAAGTCCAGTTGCCTTTGGAAAAGCGTATTTGGACAACGATGACCCGGATGACTGAGAATCTCCATAGACACAAATCTTAAAGTTGCCAAGTTTGGACACCTCTACAATAGAGTCGGGGAAAGAGCTCAGAATGTTGGCATTTGCGCCATTCCATGCCCCTGTCCTCCCAGTCACATGCCAAAGAATGGGCTTTTATTAAGGGATCCTGAAAGAGATCCGGAAACTATGATTTGCGTGCTTTCCCCTATTTTTATTATTTTTCAAATACAACTTTTTTGTTTTGAATCAGAATAGGACAGATTATGGCAGACTAGTCTAATCTAGTGTCATCTATCTAATCCCATAGTAGTCAATCATTTGGGAAGTCCATAAGCAATTCATTTGGGAAGTCCATAAGCAGAATTTTCCCACAAGTTCCTAATGACTGGAACTTAGAAGCATTCTCGAATCCAGTACATATAGCCATCATGACTCTTGGTCACTGATAACCTTATTCTAATTGGGTTTTATGGCTGTTTAAGCTTGTATCCGGTTTCATAATTTACTCTTCATTTGCTTGATTGCACTATTTCTGCAGAAATGCTTCACAAGTAATAGATATAAAAGACCTCTGAAATGTAGGCATAGGAAATAATTAAAAAAACATGAATAAGCAGGGAAGTAGTTTAAACTTTAAATTAAAAAATTAAAGTATACTTTGCAATAATGTACAATAGTATCTCGGTACTCATCGTTAATTGGTTCTGGGAGTTTGATGAGTTCCAAAAGTGATGGGTACCAAACAATTTTTTCCCATAAGGAATAATGTAGTGAGTCACAAGGCAGCCGACACTGACAAGTTCTAACTTGTACATTGAGTACCAAACAAACGATGAGTACTGGGACAAAAATTTTGCATCAAAATGAATTGAGTACCAAATTCAATGAGTTTCAAAGCAGTTGTGTACCAAGGTACCACTGTATATGCATTGTGGGGATGAGCTAAAAGCTTCTTTGGAAAAATTAATTCTGATGACGAATTTATGAAAATAAGAGATATGGCCATTAGGAAATGTTGTAACCGGAGACAATGCTAAGCGAAGCAATTAGCAAGGGATAATATGTGAAACTGCAGGAGTAGATCACATTGGAATTTAAAATGCACGCTGCTCCTATATATTGGTTATGGCATATAATGAACAAAATGTATATGTCTGGGTATATTTGAAGAACTTGTGTTTGAATTCACTGGACTGTTTCAGTAAAGGCTTCTCTTCCATTATTCAGCATCATATTTCCTAAAAGAACACATAATGTTAAATAATACAAGGTGTCTTGTGGAGGATGGTTAAAGTTATTTCTGGATTAAGGTTTTGCAAAAAGAGGTGTTAATATTTTTACTCCTTTGGATTTTGTTCTGCTCAAAAAACAAAACCCAGTATTAATGAATACGCCAAACTCTATGTGCATTTTTCCTGTTGTAAGTAAACAAATGCAAACTCATTGTCTTTGATGGTTTTCCTTTGTTACTGTGAAACAGAAGTATCTTGGTGGAATGACAATATGTCCAACTACTGATAGCAATTAATATTGATGAACAAAGGGAAAACCACATGCACATTTAGGGAACTGCTACAAAAAGAAATCTAAATAGAGTTATACTCCATTGTTGTTCATCTGTCTTGGTAAAATGCAGATATTTTAATCCTGGGAGTCTTGCGTTCAAATTCCATCTGGCTGCAGATACTGATATAAAGTATTTCAGATGCTTCGGCTGTCTGTTTCATCCATCACATTTAGATTATGAAGTAAAAATCAGATATGGACTGATGTGGATGGTCCATCACCACTTAAACCACAAAGATTGCTTACTTATACGGGTAGTCCTCACTTAGTGACCATTGAGACTGGCATTTCTGCTCCTAAGTGGTATGGTTGCTAAGCAGGAAATCATGAAAGTGTGACAGACTTAATGACATCACTTCCCATTCAGTCATTAAGTGAACCAGCATGATCATTAAGTGAAACATAACATGAACACGATTTGTTGATTTTACTTCCTTGTTCTCCATTAACTCTATTTGTCGGAAGCCGGTTGCGAAGCAAACAAATTGTACTTGCTGCAATCGTGGTAAATGTGAAATGTTGGCTACGAGCTGTTTTCTTTTACACCATCGTAACTTGAACATTGTTTAATGAGGCAGTCGTTGAGTAAGGACTATCAGTGTCCAAATCAGTGGGAATAACCTAAGCTTAATTTCCAAGTCACTGATCTTATTTTGGTATGGATGATATTGCACTAATGTTATATTGCTCTGGAAAGAAAACTCAGTTGACAGAGTTTTCATAAACTGAATCAAAATAGAGCTGGAAGGGACCTTTGAGGTCTTCTAGTCCAACCCCCTGCTAAGTAGGAGACCCTATACCATTTTAGACAAGTGACTGTCCAGTCTCTTCTTAAAAACCTCCAGTGATAAAGCAACCCCAACTTCTAATGGCAAGCTGTTCTACTGGTTAATTATCCTCACTGTGAGGAAGTTTCTCCTTAATTCCAAGTTGCTTCTCTCCTTGATTAGTTTCCATCCATTGTTTCTTGTCCTGCCCTCCGGTGCTTTGGAAAATAAATTGAACCCTTCCTCTTTATGGCAACTCTCAAATACTGGAATACTGCTATCATGTTCTCCCCTAGTCCTTCTTTTCTCTAGACTAGCCAAACCCAAATACTGTAACCGTTCTTCATATGTTTTTGCCTCCAGGCCTTCTTTGCACTTTTACCAAAGTCTCAACATCTTTTTTGTAATGAATCCAGTTTGTTACCTTTCAATGACAAAAACAGCGAGATTCTAAGAAAGCTTGGAGTGGTTGCGAAGGGGAGTGGGATGGGATTTAGCAGCAATTCTTTCCTTAACTCTTTGTCTGCTCAGATATTGACCAGTGGAATAAGGTAATTGAACAGCTGGGAACTCCCTGTCCAGAATTCATGAAGAAACTGCAGCCCACAGTGCGGAACTACGTGGAAAACCGGCCTAAATACGCTGGCCTAACTTTCCCTAAACTTTTTCCAGACTCTCTTTTTCCAGCTGATTCAGAACACAACAAACTCAAAGGTAAGAGCAACAGTGATGCGCGAAGCGTGCATGAACTAGGACAAGAGTTCTTGCATTAGAAATGTATTTATTGTATTTACATCCAAGACTCCTGACAGGATGAAACCCATGGCAGCCTATATTGGATCAGCCAGACTGTCTTCCTTCTGTTCACTGACTGGATCTGGATCTATTAAGCTTTACTAAGTGTCCTGCCTCATGTCATTGCTAAATACATCTCTAACTTCTGCTGATCCCATTGTGGGGACAGGATCACTGCAAAAATTCCATTCACTTTCTTTTCAGCATTAAAAATACTTACAGGTAGTCTTGACTGATGGCCACAATTGAGCCCAATTTTACATTGCTAAGCACGATGGTGGTTAAGGGAGTTTGGCCCCATTTTATCACCTTTCTTGCTACAGTTGATATGTGAATCACTGCAGTTGTTAAATTAGTAACACAGTGGTTAAGTGAATCTGGCTTCCCCATTGACTTTGCTTGTCAGATGATCCTATGACCCCGGGACAATCCAACCGTCATAAATACGAACACTTACCAAGCATTCAAATTTTGATCACATGACCATGGGACGCTGCAATGGTTGTAAGAGTGAAAACCAGTCATATAAAGTCATTTTTTTCCAGTGCCGTTGTAACTTTGCATGGTCACTAAATAAATGGTTGTGAGTCAAGGACTTCCTGTGCTCAGATTTACCCCAAATGATCTAATTGGTGTTTTATATATCATACTTGAAAATGCTAAGCAGTGATGCCAGGTAGGATAGAAAAAGTCAAGAGGGGACCATAATCAATGTGTAATCAAAGCCTGCCTGCCTTTTTTTTTACACACCTTGCATGTGGTATATGCTTAAAGGGAAGTTCTTTGTGCAATTGTGGCTGCATCTTGGCTTTTTGATGTTCTGGGATGCTATAATGGAATCAACAATTATGACAGATTTTCTTTTTCTAGTCTCCTCCTATTTCTTTTAGTGATATATAGGTTAGTGTATCTACAAGGTAGGGATTATGCATATGCACAAACTCATACATATACATGTATACTGGTGCTGCTGGCCATAATTTATTTCTTATTTTTACACACCAGTCACCAGAATAAGGTCATCATTGTGTCGTCAAATGTCACTGGCTAAAGGCTTGATTTAAAACCAGAGTCTACTCTGAAATTTTGTAGATAAATTTAAATGAGTGGTGAGAATGTCCTGGGAAATATAATTGCTACATGAATATATGTTTATTCATCATCTACTATTTTATCCCCATCTGTTTTTCCTGAACATGTTTAATCCAAAGCTTACAATTCTTACTATCAAAGGAAGGACAATTAGGACTGTTAAATTTAATTTCCAGGGATGGGTGGATTAACCTAAACCTCTCCAGATGGGTAGGGAGTGGAAAATTCTGGGACTTGAAATCCCAACACATTTGTTGGTACCAGTTGGAGAAGGGTGATGGAGTCTCTTTCTGGTTTGTTTTATTATGAAAAGTTGTGTTTTTACTGTAGGTGTTGTAGCTTAGGGCATTAACTAATTTTGAAATAAATATATTTGTAAATCTATTCTATTTCATTTCCATATGAAATTGCATCTAAACCTTACCTGAGCTTTAATTTTCCAGTTTAACATGGAAAAGGAATAGAACAGATTTGTACATATATTTATTTGAACAAAAGTTGTGAATGAATGCAGAAACAAAACATAGTAATCATTCATGTTAGCTATTTGGAAGGTTTTAATTGTTGAGAGGCCCCTTCAGACAATGAGGGTCTAGCTGAAGTCCACGAGTCATAAAAGAGCCAAAGTTGCCTCCCCTGGTAAGCTGTAACTTGCATAATTCTGAATAAATTCACATGAAACTTTGATAGAAATTGTGAAGGGCAGTAGTCAAGTTGAACTTTTGTTAGTAGAAGATGTATCACCTTTGCTTTTGGCAGATTTGATACCAGAAAATTGAAAACTGCCTTGATAACATCCGTACAAGAGGAGATATAGCCATTATCTGCAGAGATTTGAATAGAGATGATTTAAATATAAATGAAACCTGTGATTGTCTGCAACAGGAAAATAAACTTCCCAAGAAAATATAAACAGATGGGAAATGTTTTCATTTACAGCTCTGGAATCTACCAACATAAATGTGTATCAATTTTGAAGACATAGATTCCTGATGCTGCCTGCAGTGGCAATGCACAATGTTTGTTAATCCGCTACAATTTGCATGTCATTTATTTACACATATATTTATTTCCCCCTTGATTCCTTCCTCATCCAACTTCACTCCTGTGGTGAAAAAAAAAGGAGGGAGGATTTAACAGAGGATTTAAAGCATATGCAGAAAAAAGATGTGTTTTCTTTTGTTGCCTTCTTGAATTAAACTTGTAAATATGTTTGTACCTGTGTGAATTCTTCCTCTAGTGTCAAAAAATGCTCCATCTCTGATAATGATATGATCCAGGAACAATAAAGAAAAGTATAATTCAAAAAACTATTCCAATGAATATTTAAATCTTTGTTTGACTCAATCAGGTTTATGTTGTGTAAATGATACTATCTATCCCATGCAGTTTGGCCTATGCAGGAATTCCCATGTTCCTTACAATTGTGTAATTCCTCTGATGCATTGTAATCTAAATTTTAGAGCAGAAAAAGGTCAGAACAATTTACCATGCTTGGACTGTATCTATCTATCTATCTATCTATCTATCTATCTATCTATCTATCTATCTATCTATCTATCTATCTATCTATCTATCTATCTATCTATCTATCATCATGCATTGGTCTGACTACACTGAATATGGCATTGTAAGTCATATTTCCATCCATTCTTTCCTGTACTGATGCATTGTCTGTTTTTGTTGCTCCAGCTAGCCAAGCTAGGGACCTTTTATCAAAGATGCTAGTGATTGACCCAGCCAAACGGATATCAGTGGATGAAGCCTTACAGCATCCATACATCAATGTCTGGTATGACCCAGCAGAGGTGGAGGCGGTAAGTAGACCATTAGATTTGAAATTAGAACTTTGAATATTTCAGTGCTAACCTTCCTTAAACCCTCTTTTTATTTGTTTTCTTTTTATCATTATAGTGTTTATCACAAGCAGCTCTTTTCAGTAGAACCAGTTGTTTCCTAAACCAATTGTTAATCAGTGCCACATAGTATATTTTATTATAAAACGTCGGTCCTCTTCTTCCCATTACTTAAAAAAAAGTCTTAAAGTGGTTTACAGTGTACTCTTTCTGTTCTAAAGTGCTACTTTCAGCAAATCTTAGTACCAGTCTAGAAGTTGTGCAACAGCTGGCATGTCAGGAAGTAGATTCCTCAATGGCAGAGGTGGGCAATTAGTATTTTAGACTCTGGACCACTTTCTTTGTAGCTTTTAGAGTTCACCCCAAGGCTGCATCATTATATAATTGCCAATATATAGTGGCCTTACTTTATGCTGCTTTTATGATGAGAAACAGAAGAAGCATCGCAAGACTCAAAAAAGATTTAGTAGTTTAAAAAATGAAGAGCAGGCGACCTTTTCCTACCAATGTAAGAAAAATGCTCAAAAACTCCTCCTTTCAATGACTTAGCACCTAGGTACATTAAGACTGTCTCCTTCATGTTCAACCAGCTGTCTAGTCTGTACATAACTGAGTAGATATGTTCAGAGTATCCCCTAGATGAGGTTTGGAGGGCAGGAAACGAGATTGTCAATAACACTTTCATCCTGGAATTCAATTCAATAGTTTTATTTCTGAAGCTTCTTACAGTAAGTGAGAAAGTGATGAAGACTGAACTAATTTGCTGGGCTTTAACTCAGAGACTTGCTAATACTAAATGCTGGGAGACCAGTGGGTGGTTTCAATTTACTTTATGGATTGGTTGTGTATGCATACAATGTAAACTATAGTGTGCTATCGTGCTGAAGTCTGAATCCATAAGAAGAATAAAATAAACAAAATAATAACACTATTATCTTCTCATTGGGTGTTTGGCTGTCTGGATGAGAATAAAAGCTTGGGTTTGTCTGCTGAAAAAGTTTACTATAGGGGTGAAGGTTCGTTCTCTGAGTTTCTGGGTTGGTTTCAGAACATTTCATTATAAACAGAACACTGACATCCCCTAAACTCTGCTGAAGATGGTACCTAGCCTGGTAATGAAATGTACAGAAACCAACCCAGAAGCTCGGAGATCGAACCTTCACCCTCATTCTACACCCGAGCTACAGATATTCACCATTATTGCAAAGTTTACTATCCTGATCAGTTGATCCGACTTTATCCAGGCATCTCTTACATCTGCCTCTGCATTTCTGGGCACCTGAGAGATGAATCCACCAAGACTTTCATTCCATGGCTTGAATTATCGTACAACCACAAGTCCCAAAGTCTTCTAGAACTCACATATTAATGCAAGCCAGTCATAGTCGTACCAAGTCAAAGTCTACAAACCCTCTTCCCTGACATAAGAGATTGGGTTCCATGAGGAACAAACAAAAAGCAAGGCTCCTCTGCCTGTCAATACGTGGCATTCATCTATGACATTTGCTAGGTGTCAGGTGGCCTCTGAGAAGTATAATGGGAAAACTATATTTCCCAGGAACTGCTTGCAATCTGAAATATTAAATAGAGGTTCCTAAGTGCCCCAGCAGGAGGAAATTATTTTCTCTCTTTTTTTGTTTGTGTAGTGTCCTTGCACTTTAGCTTACTGCCACCCATAAGTCAGTCCTTACCCTCAGATAGTTTCAGGTTGTTCCCACTTCAAGGATGAATCATCTCAGCATGAAAGAGACTAAAGGAGTGGTAGAAGATGGGAGATAATGTTATATGTAGATGCAGAGATGCCTCACAATTGCCTAAGGTAATGCCAACCTTGGGATGGAGGAAGGACTTAAGTGAGAGATAGTATCTTCAAGCCTATTTTGTCCTTCCCCCCCCTTCTCCTTTTTCTTCTTCTTTTCATAAAAGACTTCTTAGAGTGACTTTAAAAAATGAAGGGCTTACAAACTACAAGACAAAGTACAAATGGAAAAGGTATTGAGGAACAGAAAGATCTGAATAATCACAGAAATTATTTACAAAATGCTTACCCTGGTCAACTGCAATAAAAATGCTTCAGGCAGAGCAAGAATCCAAATTTACTACACTCTGAGCTTAACTGATGGAAGGACATGCCTAAGGGACAAGTTGATAGCTGATGGACGGAGGTGCCTCAGAGAGGCAGTTTCTCATTATGACTGGTCATGATCCTGCTTCCTCTTGACCCTCACTGCAGTCCAGAGGAACTGGATGTCAGATCATTTGCCTGAATTATTCTAAGGGTATGCCCATGTGATGGAATATAAAAATGTTCAATTTGTAAGGTTGGAGGAAAGATTAAATGGGTAATCTGATTCCTACACCAAGGTGGTAGAAGAGTCTTTATCCATAATGTATCTAGTAGGAATGGGAATCAGCACGTTCCTTCTTCTGTACTAAAAACTATTTAAGCATCATTAACTCTTTTTCCCTGGTGAGGGAAAAGATCAGGGGTTAGTACCCAGTTACAGGAGATGCAATGAATCATAAGAAGCCTCTTAAGATCCCCTGCAGAGAATCTTATAATCTTTCTCAGCGTTTGTGTTGCAGTGGAAATGAATTCATTAGTATTTATACAATGCTTAATTGCCATTTGTGATGAGGCGTGGTATGAAAAGATGGGTATAGACTACAAATGTGTTTTGACAATGAGACCCAGAACTGCAGAGCTGAGCTGTATGCATGTGTGCATGAATGCATGGGAGCACCTCTAGCAATTTATTTTAGCACGTTGTAGTAGAGTAATTCAATTTCCTATTTTCTAGGGCCTGCAACATTTGTCTTCTTCCAGCTATCTTTTCTACACTTTCTGAAGGCCTTCCTAACTATTCCACAAACATTGGAAACGTAATAAAAATAAATAAATAAAATAAACAGCAGTTTCTTGCAATTTTGAGTTGGAAAACAAAATAACCTCTCTGAAAATCTCTCAAAAATAAGTGGATTTTTTTTTTTTTGTTCCAGCAAATTATTTGACACGAGCAAATCCTTAAGGTTCTCTCCATTAGAATTGCTAAGAGATTGGAATTTGATCCTTAACTTTTTATTTATCTATATCTGAAGTTTAATCTTATTTTTTTGGAGGGGGGGGGAGGGAACGGGGAAGTTGGAGGTAAATCAGTCACAAGAAAATTGACATTTAATTGCTTGCTTTCCAGCTTTTCCTGTTCTCCAAACTCCCCAATCTGAATTCATCTTCTTTTAAGTCTGTTCTGTGTTTTTGATAAGGGAGATGTGCCCATTTTTATTTTATTATAAGAGTAGCAGATGTTGTATAGCAATAATAGTACAAAAGAAATAAAAAAAAAACCCTACCAAACACCTTCGCTTGAGATAGAACTGAAAGGTAAGAAATATATAACTTTGCAAATAAAAGCAATGTTAAGCCAATTTAAAATCCTGGGTGATAAATAAGTGGGTTTTGGGTTGCAGTTTGGGCACTCGGTCTCTAAAAGGTTCGCCATCAGTGGTATAGTAGAAACTCTGCCTTTAAGAATTTGGAGCCCAAGTTATTAAGGTTTTAGAGAATAAGCATCAGCATTTCATCTCAGTAGGTAACACCACCTCAGCAGAATTTGCCTGGCCTAGTAGCATTAGTCCTGTTTATTATGTAGATGGAAGCCCTGCAGGGAACAGCAAGGCTGTAGATTAGATTGGGAAAACATCCCAGAAGAAGAGACTGGAAAACCATATCTGAATTGCTGCTAAGAAAACTACATTGATGTGCTTTTGAAGCCACCAGGATATATGTTTCAGTTGATAGAGACTTTAACACTTTGAATAGGGCTGGGAATAATGAATAGTTAGACAAAGGAAAGTCATTCTGTACAAATTGGTGTAATGTGGCTCCACCTAGCTGAATCATTCAAAACTCTAGCAGTCAAATTAGAGCATATTACAGCTTTTGCAGCATGTTCAAGGTCAGTCCCTTTGTGTGCTGGTGCTTCAAAACTCTATAAGCTATAAAGACTTGAAGATTTCTTCCTTAGATGAGGAAAAAAAAGCTTGAAAGTTAATTTGATTTATTGTAGCTGTTCTCACAGTTTTAGTTTTTAGTTTTGGCTTAATGCATTCTCTTTGTCTCTCAGTGATCATTAGAAACAGCTAAATCAAGTGATAGTCTTCATGCAAATCTGTCATCTTAAATCTTCAATTTTCTGATGCTATTTCCCACAGTGCCTGTCTAGGGTGGATCCACCATTCTTTAACAATCAGCAGAGATGCAAGTAAGATGGCTTAGATAAAATAGTTGTGATGGTAAGGGTGAGAGAGCACATGGCTGGAGAGCATTGCCTTCTTCTACAACAGGAGAATCTATAGCTGGACTGCAAAAATCTGCATGCCCACTAGAGAGCAGCAAATATTTTCAATCTCTTGCTCTCTTCTCTTTGCTGTCATCTAGCGTTTATCTGTATTTGCACAGCCCAAATATTTTTGATCTATCACATTCCTTCAGAGATAACTGTCTGTGATTGGATGCCAAGCAAGCTGAGTAAGGATCAAAACCCAAGATAGACAAAGTTATGATATCCTCTTTCCTCCACTGCAGTTTCTGATATTCCTTTCCATCCATTCATTGTCTTCCCCCTTCCCAAGAAGCAATTAGTCTGGAAAAAATCCAATTTTGTCTGGATCAAAATACTTCTTCCTTCCAGGCTAATAGACGTATTGGTATGACACCTGTGTCCTTTAAAGCTTCCTTCTTATCTACTATCAAGCTACTCTGGAAGGAATTTGGTGTGATCCAATTACTTGTATAAAGTAGCATGCGTGAACCCATGAAGACAGACAACCTTTGTACAAATACTCACTCCAAAGTGCTAGGATGAATGTGGAAGCTGCTATAATAAATCTGGAGTAGAAGCCACTAATAACAGCTGTGCAACTAGAATGATGCCTAAACAAGTCTTACTTAATTTACCATT